CGGTTTTCTTGTAAAAAGGGTTTATTAAGCCTCCATTTGAGCAGGTAGGTCATTTACCAATATTAGATGATTTAAATTTAGAATAAGCAACAACAAAAAAATCCCTCATCTTATTTCAAGTAGTTAATATGTTATTAGCCGAATATAACATATAGAACTATAATTTCTTTCCTACAGCGAACACCACCCAGACACGTTCCCTGACGTCCTGGTATGGGGCTGTTGGAGGCGTGGCCATGTTCATCATAGTGGCAGTAATAATGTGCATCCTTTGCAGAAAACATGGTATGAAACCCCAATACTTTAATCTTTTTAAAATTTGTGTGTTTGTGGTCTGAAGGACAATGCTTATAGATTGTCTTATCTGCCTTTAGGTAAACGTCCCAACATTGAATCTAAAGAAGAAGGTGGAGAACTGCGGGTGCAGCTCAAACAAGCTCCCAAAGTGATGGTCATTTACTCCCATGACCACAGCCTCTACAAGGACGTAGTGCTCAAACTATGCGCCTTTCTCCAGGACAAATGTGGCACCCAGGTGGTTGTAGACCTGCTGGACAACTCCTCCGTCAGCATGTTGGGTCGTCTCCGCTGGCTGGAGTGGCAGCGGCAGCAGCTGGACCCGTCGGACAAGATCCTGGTGCTTTGCTCTCCTGGCGTTCAGGCCAAGTGGAAGGCCATGTGTGGTCATGGTCGGGTGACTCTGAAGCAGGATCTGCTGTCTCCTACAGATGACATGCTGACTCCCTTTCTCAATCTCTTCCTGCCGGACCTGCACCAGGCGGGCATGTTGGGGAAATACATGGTGGCTTACTTTGAGGACATCTGCAGTGAGAGAGACGTACCTTCCGTCTTTGACATTGGAATCAAATACATCCTGATGAAGCACTTTGAGGAACTCTACTTCCGCATCTTAGACATCGAGAGGTATCAGCCGGGCCATGTCAATCACATCGAGGGAATCGGAGTGGATGAATACTTCAACTGTGCCTCAGGTAAAGCCCTCAGAGATGCCATAGAAACCTTCCACGCCTATCAGATAGAGGACCCCAATTGGTTCGCAAAGGAGGTGGTTGGCGATGTGGAGGAAGTCCTTTCTGAGACCAACCAGCTCCTCCCACCACTGCAGACCCCTCCTGTCCTTGAGTGCATCCCTCCAATCAGAGATCAGCTTCCAGTCTACGTTCACAGCGTTGATACGAAGGAAGAGATCAACTCTGTTCACATCCTTACGCCTCACTTAAACCCAGAGCATCAGCTGTCCTCAGTGGCTGAACTGGTACCAGATGTGAGTTCTGACTGCAGGCCTCTCTACCAACCCAGCCAGGTGGAGGTGTTAATAGCAGACCCCCAGCGCTCCGCTGCAGAGTCTCTGTACATAGCCCAGCCGGTTCTGGGGAAACAACCTTTGCTTCAACAGAACTTGGTTTCGCTCAGGGAACCATCCTCACTTCAGAACTGTATGGAGGACGATGAGAGAGGTTCCTCACCAAGCCCGGATGACTTTCCAGTGCAGAGACGCCCAGTGGAAATGGAGGAGGAGCTCTTAGAGCCAACCGCCCCACGTTCAAGCAGTGGGTCTGACCAAGGCTACATCTCCAAGATGTCCTCCCAGCCTGAAGCTCCTGTTCAAGAGGATCCACTGAAGTCTTTGGTCAGACTGCAGGAGGCGCTGTTTCATTCTGATTACTCCTCCGTATGTCCTGAAAGCACCTGATGGGACTGCAGGACCTTCACTCTGGCAGACAGCAGAAGCTTTTTAGCAACTTGAGCTCATCGTTCTTGGAGATCTCAGTAATCTGTGCTCTAATGTGTTTTTCACACACAGACTCAAATTCAGCTACTCATGAGGCAAAATGTCTATTTACCGTATTTTCACGACTATA